AACTGGTAAAAATGTAAATTGAAGAGTTTTACCGTAAAGAAATGAACATTAATTTTTTTTAAAGGAAATGGCTAAGAATATATGATTCTAACTTAAGGGGGAAAAAAAGACTGTTCTAATTGTAGATTTTGTGCTCTCTGGTACTAGTCAGTATTAAAAGTCACTAGAGGGGGGCTGGAGAGATAGCATAGCGGGTAGGGCGTTTGCCTTGCACGCAGCCAACCTGGGTTCGATTCCCAGCATCCCGTATGATCCCCTGAGCACCACCAGGAGTAACTACTGAGTGCAGAGCCAGGAGTAACCCCTGTGCATCGCCGGGTGTGACCCAAAAAGCAGAGAAAATGAATAAATAAAAAAATAAAAGTCACTAGTGAATTTTAATAGGTTAAATAGCTCTTGCACCTTATTTTTAGGGCTGGAGCGATAGCACAGCGGGTAGGGCGTTTGCCTTGCACGCAGCCAACATGACCAACCCGAGTTCGATTCCTCTGCCCCTCTCGGAGAGCCCGGCAAGCTCCCGAGAGTATCTCGCCCTCACGGCAGAGCCTGGCAAGCTCCCCGTGACGTATTCGATATGCCAGACACAGTAACAACAAAGTCTCCAATGGAGACGTTACTGGGCCCGCTCGAGCAAATCGATGATCAACGGGAGGGCCTTTACCTTTACCTTACTTGACAAGAACCCTTTTCATTATGAAAAAAAAAAAAAGAGAGAGAAGGGAGAAAGCAGAAAGGTAGTAATTACCAAGCTGGGAGGACCATGAAGCACGAGCTGTGAGCTCAGTAACAAATCAAAAGGGATAAGCAAACAAGCAGTACTTCTCTGTCTGTCAAATATTCATGAATCACAGGACCAAAGGTTACAACTTTATGAGATGACGAGTCACATATTTTCATGCAAGTAGGATTCTTACAGGTTTACTGAATCCAACTCTCAAATCACGATGAAGAAATTGAGGCCCACAGCATTACAGCAACTTATCCCCAATGCTTGGGCTACTGATCACGAATCACGACGACCATCCTGTTATTCGTCGATTGCCTCGAGCAGGCCCCAGTAACGTCTCCTTCATCCTAGCCCTGAGATTATATTCAAGGCTCTTTAGGAGAATGAGACCCATCATTGTTACTGGTATTTGGCATATTGGGTACGCCACGGGGAGTTTGCCAGACTCTGCCGTGTGGGCAGGTTACATTCGGTAGCCTGCCAGTTTGCCCAGGGCTACTGATAAAGCAGATTTTAGCTCAGTCCCTCTGCTCCTACTTCTATAAAAGTAATGTGAAACTGAGAAAAATCAACATACATCCTCCAATGTATCTTCCTTAAAAAAAAAAGTTTTCCATTAATTGATTTTGATTGGGTTGGAGCAATAGCACAGAGGGTAGGGCATTTGCCTTGCACACAGCCAACCTGGCCGACCCAGGTTCGATTCCTCTGCCCCTCTTGGAGATCCCAGCAAGCTACCGAGAGTATCTCGCCCGCACGGCAGAGCCTGGCAAGCTCCCCGTGACGTATTCGATATGTCAAACACAGTAACAAGTGTCACAATGGAGACGTTACTGGACCCGCTTGAGCAAATCGATGAACAACGGGAGGACAGTGACATATTGATTATAGCATACACTAACCTTTTGGGGTTGGGAGGTGGGGGGAGGAGTTTGGGTTTTGAGCCATACCCGGAGGTGCTCAGGGATCACTCCTAACGGTTTCCATGGGACCACACGTTTTCGTCAGGGAGAAATTCTGGGTGGGCCACGTGCAGAGCAAATGCTTTACCCACTGCACCAACAGGCAGGCAACACAGACCTCTTCTAAGGTATTTGCTTCGTTTCTTAAAACAAGCACCAAGAAATGCCTTCTCGGGGCTGGAAGGATAGTACAGGCTGCAGGTGCTTGCCCTACACGGCCAACCTGAGTTCGATCTTTGGCATTCCAGATGGTCTCCTGAGCTTACTAGGAGTGACTCCTGATCACCACTAGGTGTGGCCCCGAAACCAAATATACATACATACATACATAAATATAAATATATATATATATATATATATATTCATGCAAGTAGGATTCTTACAGGTTTACTGAATCCAACTCTCAAATCATGATGAAGAAATTGAGGCCCACAGCATTACAGCAACTTATCCCCAATGCTTGGGCTACTGATCACGAATCACGACGACCATCCTGTTATTCGTCGATTGCCTCGAGCAGGCCCCAGTATATATATATATACACACACACAAAATGAAAAATGCCCTTTAATTCACAGAAAACAGACAACTGGGGGGGAAAAAAATCAGAGAGCTGAGAGAGAAATGAGAAGACCACTGGGTTTAATATGAACACTCAGCGTGCAATCCATATGCAGATACCCAAAGCAGCAAGTTTTTCTTTAATAAAGCAGTCCCAGGAACGCCGCCTGGAGAGGGAAAGGCAAGCATGGCCTTGAGATGTCCGCAGAGGACGATTCTGTGTTGCTCAAGAGGCAAGCGCCGGCCCGATACCCTAGACTGGAGCAAGAGGATTTCTGGAAGCCTTTCTTATTTATGTGGAAAGAAAAACACCCTGAAGATACAGAGTCCGGAATCGGAAGGTAAACCAGATCACTTACTGATTTGCTAATAAAACCTGCCTGAAAAAGAGGCATCAGGTATCTATGAAACCAGGCCATTTTTGGAGTTTGCTCTTTCCTTTCAAGTATATCAAGTATATTATATCCTCCAACTCTCTCGTTGACTTCCAGAGTCGAGATCCTACTGATGAGGCTCCCTGGGCTCGGAAACGGGAAAGCAAACTCGTCCCACCGGTCTGCTCTTGTCTCTGTACCACCACCTGGTCTCCTCCAGGCTGGGAGAGTCAAAATGCTCGTCCGTGTAAGACGCTCAAACCTTCTCGCTCTTGACCCCAAGCAGAAAAGACAGACGCCGACTCTTCATAGCGTCGCTTTTTCTAGCGAAACGGACACCCACCTGCTATTGTACGCAGCGCCAGGCAACACCGAGCCACACAAGAAACACACTCCCAGCTGTGTGGGAACCTCAGGCCACCTCACTGCTGTAGAAAACTTCCCGGGACAACGAGCCAAACTAAACCCATCAGGAGATGGAAATCTATCTAGCTTACACTGCAGCGCAAACTGGGGTTCTCGGGACCTTTGAGGCTAAAAACACGGGTTTCTCACCAAGGGCACACACTGAAGAACCTTCAGCCCTGAGGTAACCAAGCAGGGACGCTGTCCTCTGTCAGGTTCAGTGCTACCTCCTTCCGGGGGTCAGACAGACAGTAGAGTAGGGAAGGTGCTTGTCTTCATGCAGTCAAGCAGGGTTCGATTCCCAGCACCGCATATAGTCTCCTGAGCACTGCCAGAAGCACATCCCTGAGCAATGTCTGGTGTGAACCCAAAACCAAGACATTTTTCAAAAGGAAGAAATCAAGGGGCTGGAGCGACAGCACAAACAGGTAGGGCGTTTGCCTTGCATGCAGACGACCTGGGTTCGATTCCCAGGATCCCATATGGTCCCCCGAGCACCGCCAGTAGTAATGAGCCAGGGGTCATCCCTGAGCATCGCTGGGTGTGACCCAAAAAAGAAAAAAAAAAAAGGAAGAAATCAAGAGAGTTTTCCATTCTTACCCAAGACAACCACTGGGAAAATATTCCATTTAAAACGCCATCTGCCCTGCCTCAACGGCCTATCTTTCATTGTGGTTCAGGACCCCAAATGGGGGTCACAAAACTTTTTAAAAAACAGTTTCCAAATAAGTTTTGTTGTGACTTATCAACAGTAAATGTCTGATGTGCATACTTCTATAGACCTACCTACCGGGACTGACAGAAAAAAAAATTTCTGGGGTGAAAACGGGTCTTGACGGAAACCCAATTCTAAACACTTTACAACATGTACCTCCCAGTGATTCCATTTAAAAAGCGGGGAAAGGGGTTAATGAGTGGGAATGTTAGAAGCCCAGCTCTTGGCGACTTGCCACAACCTCACCTGCTGGGGACACCGTCAGGAATCAGAGAGCACGGAAGAAAGGCTCAGAGGGGGTCAGCGTAAGCAGCCTGACATTCAGTCCACTCAGCTCTGGGAATTTACTTGGCGGGGACCGATCCTCAGGCACTGGGACTGCTGCTGTGACGATGAGGACATCTGACATCGGGGTGATCATCTCCGGCAATCATGACACCCCTGGCTACCACACACCAAACGCTCATCACGGGAGGCTCTGGCGTCCAACTGAAACTCCTGGGGTCTTCCCAGCAACCCTTTGAGACAGCGCCTGTGATTCTCCACATTTTTCACAAGGAAGCTGAGGCTGGGGGGGGTGTAGAGTCACCTGTTTGGGGTAAGAGCTCATCGCAGGAGAGGCCCGGTTCAGTCAGCTAGAGTCTGGACTGCGGTGGCGCCTCTTGAAAGCTGAGGATAAGGAATACGGGTGCCAAGGATAATTGTCTACTGTGTAATGAGGAAGACAAGCAAACGAGCCTTCAAGGAGCACGTGAGCCACTCAGACTTCAGAGAAGGCTGCCAGCAAGAGCCGCTTGCTGTCAACTGTCATTTGGGTGGGAACTAGCTGAAGTAAGATAGGGGTGTGAGGAGCACTCCAGGGGAGGAAAAAATGGGCTTTCAGTAGGCCTCAGGGAGAAGTCTGAAAAGACTTGGGGACTGAGTCTGACTGTTGGAGCTGTGCACTGAATGTGGATAAACCACAGAGTAATCTCAGAAGAGGATCAGTGCTCAGCAGAAGCGCAACTCGGAGATAACCCTTCCTCCCTCAGAGTCAGCACGTGACTGTCCCCCCGCTTTTCACCTAGAGAAGCCCGGACTACTCTGTGACGGCTGGGCGTTTGATTGCAGATCGAGTGCAAAGTGACCGTAAGGCAGCTCTCAATGTTATGACGAGATACCGCTTCCTTCGCGATCATTTCCAAAAATTCCGATCGGGGAAAGCAAAAAGCATTGTTAGGCATCGAAGGGATGAGTATTTAAAATGTGCTCCTCACCTGTCCCTTATTATGACTTCGCCACAGGACTGGCAGTAAAACGTGCAACATTCTTGGGCAGGTACGTTTTGATTAAACACCGAAGTCGGTTCTGAAAGAAACCAATGAACAGTCAATCTTAGCTATTCGGGGGGAAAAAATACAGTAGTTTGCTTAGAGAGTTTATTAGCTATAACATATTACCAATCATAAATGTTGTTCATGCGCTACCTAGAAGTACACATTTCATTCGCTTTATCTGACGACTTCCAGAGAGCAAATGCTGTGAAATATGTTGAAATAATAGACTTTGCCAGTGTCTCGGAGACAGCAATCACTCCGGATTAACCATGCAATGCAGGGCGTTTCTTTCCCTTTATAAACGCCAACATTAAGAATGAAGGAAAAGGAGCTATTTCCTGTTATGCTAACGACACAGCACTTTGTTATGCTCAACATGACATCCACCAGGAACTATTGACAAATAGAACTTTTTAAATTTAATCTGTGTGTGTGTGGTGGTGGGGACCGAACCCCAGGCCACACACAAGCCAGACAGCGTGTCATAACTGAGATAGATCTAGCACTAGGCAGAGTTCTTAAAAGTTGGTTGATTTTTTTTTGCTTTTTGGGTCACACCTGAAGATGCACAGGGGTTACTCCTGGCTCTGCACTCAGGAGTTACTCCTGGCAGTGCTCAGGGGACCATATGGGATGCTGGGAATCGAACTCAGGTCATCCGTGTGCAAGGCAAACGCCCTACCCACTGTGCTATCTCTCCAACCCCGAAAAAAGTTGGTTAATATGATTTTAACAAGGGTTATGTCCACTCTGCCATATTATCCATGTGTACAAATCAGAATGAACTTTCACATTGGTTTTTACCTCAAAAAAAAAAAAATGAACAGTTCTTAAGACTTCATCTTCCAGAAACAAAACTCAGTTTTTTTTTTATTATTAAAGCTGTGGGAACATGTTTATTTCCTACATTAAGAAGTGGGAAATGCAGCATATGGCAAGATGATCCCTTAGATTCCATTAGTTAGTTCATGAAGAAAAGAAACTCTCAACAAAAAAAAGAATACGTGCCTATAAAATATAAAGTAATGAGGTCGCAGTAAAAAAAAATCAATTAGAATTTATAGAGTTTAGGTTAAACTGGGGCTGGAGCGATAGCACAGGGAAGGGCGTTTGCCTTGCACGCAGCCCACCAGGGTTCGATTCCTCCGCCCCTCTCAGAGAGACCGGCAAGCTACCAAGAGTATCTCAACTGCACGGCAAAGCCTGGCAAGCTACCCAATATGCCAAACACAGTAACAACAAGTTTCACAATAGAGACGTTACTGGGCCCACTCGAGCAAACCAGAGGACAGTGGACAGTGCTACAGGATAAACGACCTCATGTGCATTTTTAAGGACGAAAAAAACAAGCTAGAAAGTTTAAGCTTTGACAATTAAAAACCCTACCATTAAATTTATAGGGATGCCTGCCAATCACTAAAGCACGAAGATGAAACAAACAATGTACTTTAATTTTGAAAAGACTGGGTAAGACATTCAAATTCTCCGTTCAGAGCCAATAAGCAAATTTTCAGCCAAACACTGCCCTCTTCTGGCCAATCAGTAACTGGTTCGAGTGGCATCTGGGGGAGAGGGGAGAAACCTAATACTTGTGCCCATGAGGTTTTACTGTAGCTAGTGCCAAGTCCAGAGTGACGAAATGATTCATGTCACATTCAGATCAGAAAAACGATGTCTACCACAGACCTTAAGGAAACCTTTTTCAGTAAGTAAAAAGTCTGCTTTTAAAAAGCCGGAAACGTGGGAGGCATGGTGCCGCCAGCAGGTCACTCTGTACCTGTGAGGCGAGTGCATCAGCAGCCTGGTGGCACCTTCAGACTTCCAGATACCCCAAAATTGCTGCTGTGCCTCTGGCCAGACCCCAAAAACTTGGGGCAAAGTTTAGCAAGAAAGTAAACGGCCAAAAGTTAGGTATGTGGGAAACACACCCACAAACCACCTCCGGCTCAGGTATGTAATTGGAGGCATGGCCACTCTGGTGAACTGCTTGATGGCCATGATCCCAGAGACTCAGAAACAAATCTCGAAACCTTGCGGTTTTTGGCAGAAATGCGTCCGGAACACTCAGTAGGTTACAGGCGACGGGCCACCCAAGGTGGGAATAGGTTTAGTGCCTTGGTCTGTTCCCCCTAGCGGCCTGGTGACCACCATCCTCCAGAGGCCACTGGACAGTCAGGTTTGGGCCTGCAATGATGAGACATGCAGGGCCTCACGGGATAGGGGTGGAGCCGGCCCTTTCCTCCCCATCCCAGCGAGACCCTGAGTCGCCGCCTACAAACGGCCCCTCTGGCTCCTGATCAAGCTGCTTAACAGCCATGATCCCAGAGACTCAGGAGCAAATCTCGGAACCCAGCAGGTTCTGGCAGAAATCCCTCCAGATTTAAGTGTTAAAATTTTGGAATTCCAAAACCGTGCGGCCATTACTGCAGCCACGTGACATCATATGTTTTCATAACCAGCAATAAGAAACAAATTGTCTACTGTGACCTTTTCAGCAAGTCTGAGTGTTGTGGTAAAATCCCAAATAATAATGGTGGGTCTGGGGTCGAAATATTGAATGTAATTGAAGTAGAGAGAGAGTAATGTGGAAATCATCCGCCCCACAGGTAGGGGGAGGGTGTGGGATGGGGGTATACTGGGGTTGTTGGGGGTGGAGAATGGGCACTGGTGAAGGGACGGGTGTTTCACTGTATGACTGAGACTTAAACCGGAAAGCTTTGTAACTGCTCTCACGATGATTCAATAAATAAATTTATAAAAAAGAAAAAAAAAGTAAGGTGGAGTTCATGCACAATTCAATCAGCCTAATCAATGGCTGAATAAATACCAATACTCCTACATTTTAAAAAAAAAGCCGGGAATGCAAATGGGTACTAAAAATTCACTTCGTCTCCTACAATGCACTTTGATTCAAGTTTACATCCGCATGCATCTGATCGTCCTTCTTCAACACATACCTATTCACCACCTTTAACATGGGGATGCTCTAAGGCAATTAAGTAGCGAACCTATTTTGCATACGCTTTTATGCACTGCAGAACAGGCCTTTTAACGTATTTTCCATATATATTAATAAAACGTTTTAAAGACGTAAAGAAAACAGAAAAATCGACCCAGATGAAACATAAAACAGCACCCACAATTCCGTCCTACAGCTAAAAATAGTTCTAAGAAAGAAAAAAAAATCCAGTTTGCTGATTTAAACGATTCAAGCAATTTGTTTTCCTATTTGCATTCATATGAAATACAGCACTGCAGCAAACGCATTTGGTGCCTGGAGGGTCTTCCTACTTGCTCGTTGAGGAAAGTCACCGTCATGGCAGAAAGCCAGCAGCAGCCCCGAGGACCCTCAGGAAGTGCCGCTTTCCTGCCTGCCTTGCTCCAGTTTCCAGAGAAGACACAAAATCCCCGCAGAGGTGATTGTCCTTCACGACTGCGAAAAAGAAGCCGATGCCCTTACAGGACTCAGACTTCTCAGGACTCAGTCTTCCCTGGACGTCTCCCTGCCCGTGACGAGGCGTCCGGAGGCCTCTGCTAGCCTTAGCTCCCAGACCGCATCCTCGGAGTGGTTTTCTCTGACCATCCTTCGGGGTCCCAGCCCTATGCCCGGATTCCACGGCTTGGCTTTGCCTACGGCACTGTTCTCTGCACACAAGCAATGAGTGTGTGTGTGTGTGTGTGTGTGTGTGTGTGTGTGTGTGTGTGTATGTGTGTGTGTCCCTGCCACCTATTCGAGTCAGCTTCCTGGTTCACCTCTGCACCTCGCTTCGTGCATGGTCCACAGAGGACGGCTAATATTTGTGGAACGAACGGATTTCTGTAAGATGCTTTAAAAGGAGCCAGCTCAGCTCATACAGAACTGTCAACTGAGTTGACCTTCCGCTTCAACTCGATGGGCCGGCAAACTGGATAATTACATTTCTCTTTTTTTGAAAAGCAGGGGTTACCAGGCAAATTGCAATGCTGCTCACTTTTGTTATACACTTAAAAATCAAGTCTATTTAAAAAAAAAAAAAAGAAAGAAAGGGCAGGGGGCTGGAGAGATAGCACAGTGGGTAGGGCATTTGCCTTGCACGCGGCCGACCTGAGTTCGATTCCCAGCATCCCATAGGGTCCCCTGAGCACCGCCAGGAATAACTTCTAAGTGCAGAGCCAGGAATAGCCCCTGTGCATCGCCGGCTGTGACCCAAAAAGCAAAAAAAAAAGTGGGGGGAGGACTTTTTTTCCTTTAAAAAACAAATGGGGCAACAGGAAAGAAACCAAGTCTTAAAACGATTTAGTGCATCCCGTTAACAACTGGCAGAGTTGGTGAAGAACCTTGATCCTCAGACTCTCTGGGCTGCTTAGAGGACAACTGCTTTCACCTGAGAAAAGCCCCCCTTTGATTTGCAAGGGAAGGGAAGCGCAGAGACAGTGTTCAGGCCACTCACTTGCGCTGATCTCGGCCGCCTGGGCCTGCAGCCGCAGGTGCAAACCCTCTCCGGGCAGGAACTGCAGCCCGCGACAGGACGAAGGGTCAAGCCTGACCTCTGCTGGCAGCCGGAGCTCGGTGCAGCCTTCAGACGTTTTCACCTGGACCGAAGCCGGGGTGACAGAGATGTCCACGCACGTGGGCCCTTCTTCTGGCTCTCTGGCGATGGAAAGGAGAACACGAAAGCAGTTAGTTCTCACTCATGAAAGCACGAGGATAAAAGGAAGAAGATTAACCAGGCGCTTCTCTCTTCTCACTCCAGAGGGGTGCCCCAAGGCCCCTGCGGAAAAAGAAGGGTGAATCAGAAAGTCATACTGTTTGTTTTCATTTTATAGTAAATTTTTGTCTGTTTGTCCTAGGGGCCACACCCAGTGATGCTCAGGACTTACTCCCGGCTCTGCACTCAGGAATTACTCCTGGTGGTGCTCAGACCACTATATGGGATGCCGAGGATCGAACCTGGGTTTGCTGTGTGCAAGGCAAACATCCTACCCACTGTACTAACGAATGCTCCTGCATCAATGATCTTTTTTTTTTTAAGTAAGACATTTTATTTGTAAGTTTTTGAAGGTGAGAAGGGAAGGGAAGCGAGAGACAAGGGCTCAAGAGAGAACGTGGGCTTCGCCGAGGGCGGAGAGAGCCCCTACACACACCTCAGCATCAGAGAGAGGGAAGTACACACCTCAAGAGGGGAGGCGCAGAGGACGCAAGTGCTCGGGGACGTGTGCTCGGCACCTGGGCACAGGCAGCACGAGGGCTTAGGCAGCATAGGGGCCCAGTGATGCATTTTTGAATGTGCCTTTTCCATCGCTGCCTTCAGTCCTGAGGGCCAGGAACGCAGGGCAGCAGCAGAGAACTTGCATGTCTGGGCCTCTGGGCTTGATCCACCCCCCCCCCCCAAACAATGGGGGAAAAAATGTCCAGCCCCAAATCTCATGTCTGCCAGGACAGACCCCTGAATAAATACCGACCCAGGAGTAACCCCACCAAGCACTGCTGGGTGCCCTCAAAGAGAAACAAAACAGGACTTAAGAAATCACATTTCTAGGCTGGAGAGATAGTCCAGACAGGGTGCTTGCACTGTACACAGTTGATCTGCATTCGACCCCCAGCTGCCCCTATGGTCTCCTGAATTTCACCGTAGTGACCCCAAAGTCAGGAGTAAAAACCCTGAGCAAACTGCATGTGGCAAGAAAAAAAAAATTTAAAAAGGTTCCCTGTGAGAGACAGTCCTGAATTAAGGTACTTGCCTTGCTTGTGGCCAAGCCTGATTTGATTCCAGATACGAGGTATGGTCCCCCTGAGAACTGTCAGGAGTGATCCCTGAACACTGGGTGTGGCCCAAAAACCAAAAAAAAAAAAAAAGAAGGAAGGAAGGAAGGCAGGGAGGGAAAGAAAAGAAAAGAAAAGAAAAGAAAGAAAGAAAGAGGGAAAGGGAGGGAGGGAGGGAGGGAGGAAGGAAGGAAGGAAGGAAGGAAGGAAGGAAGGAAGGAAGGAAAAGAAGGAAGGTTCTCTAAAGCAGGTGTCAAAAACTTCTGTAAAATCCGTCCTTTGTGCTCAGGTGGTACCAACAGAAGTCTCAAGCCCAATCTGACGCCGTGAGCCAGAGCACGTTGACCCCTGCTCTAAAGACACGCCTCAGGGGGCCGCAGGAATGGCGCCAAGCACTTCAGCACAGCTTAGCAGGGACAAGGTCCCGAGTTCGATTCCCGGCGTCACACATGGCGCCCCACATGGTCCTCCAAGGCCCCGCATGTCTAGCCCATGGGGCCCTGAGCACCAGCAGGCAAAGCTACAGGGGTCCTGGTCAGTGCAACGACAAAATGTAGTAATAATAGCTAATAATAGCTGTAGTACTGTAGCACGGTCCTCCCGTTGTTCATGGGTTTGCTTGAGCGGGCAGCAGTAACGTCTCCACCGTGAGAGTTGTTGTTACTGTGTTTGGCATCTCGAATACGTTCACGGGGAGCTTGCCCGGCTCTGCCATGCGGGCGAGATATTCTCGGTAGCTTGCTGGGCTCTCCGAGAGGGATGGAGGAATCGAACCCAGGTCGGCCGCGTGCAAGGCAAAGGCCCTACCCGCTGTCCAGGGGAGGCATGAATACCTAAAAGTCCTAAGAGGTGGGGCTGGATACAGAGTATCCAGCATAGGGAAGTTGCCTTGCTGCTGATCCCAGGCTTGATGGCCTTGAGCCTTGAGAGCACAGAGTAAGCCCTGAGCACCAATGGGTGTGGCCCAAACAAGCCAGCACCTCCGCCCCTAAAAGTATTTAAAGTTGGATAAGGAACTGGCTATTTGCATAGCTATAAGGAACTCTGCAATTAAGATCCACTAATTACAAAGAAAAATAACTAGTGTTAAAGCCTGGAAAACACAGCAGCACTTCTGGGATATTAAGGCCCAAGGTGATCAAACTGAGTCTTTTTTTTTTTTTTTTTTGCTTTTTGGATCACACCTGCAATGCTCAGGGGTAACTCCTGGCTCTGCACTCAAGAATTATATGGGATGCTGATAATCAAACCCGGTCAGCCGTGTGCAAGGCAAATGCTCTACCCACTATGCTACCCCTCCAGCCTCCCTGAATCCAGTCTTGATTGTTCACAGGACAATCCCAAAGATGGGGCTGTCTATAAAACAATTGGGCCATTGTTTTCAAAAGTATTAGGGACATCAGGGTTAAGACAGCAAGGGAGGGGCTGGAGCAGTAACACAGCGGGTAGGGCGTTTGCCTTGCAGGCAGCCGACCCAGGTTCAATTCCCAGCATCCCATATGGTCCCCCGAGCACCGCCAGGAGTAACTCCTGAGTGCATGAGCCAGGAGTAACTCCTGTGCATTGCAGGGTGTGACCCAAAATGAAAAAAAAAAAAAGATAGCAAAGGAACTCTTTCAAAATGAAAGACGCTATGGAAATAAGACAACAAAATGTAAGACATGGTTATAATCAGTATTCTTTCACTATTCTAGATACTAAGTAAAAAAACCGGCTAAGCTTGAATGATGTCAAAGATAGCAGCAATTTTTGTTGCTGTTGTGTTTTGGTTGGGCGGTGGGGGGGGGGGGGGCTGAAGTAGGGGCACGCATAACTAGCAGTGCTCAGGGCTTACCCCTGGCCTGTGCTCAGGGGTCCCTCCTGGTGAGGTGTGGAGAACCATGCGCAGTGGCAGGGATGGAGCTGGCAGGGTGGGCTGCACTCAAGGCAAGCCTCTTAAGCCCTGTCCTCTCCAGCTCAACAAAACATGTTTTCTGATCTGATCATGAGAAAACATATCACTTTCTCAATACATGTAAGAAGTTATTACAGAAAAGAGTTTTGGAGTTTTAAAAAAAAATTCTAAATCATCTTCAACAGGTTTTTGGTGGGTTTGGTGGGGGGGGGGACCCCTCCGAGCTATGCTCTGCCTGGTGGCCAGGAAACCACACTCAGCAGGCTTGGGGCACACCAGTGCCCACAAGAAGGGACATATCAGCCCAGAGACTCAACTCAGAGCCCGGGACATACCAGCATATGCTCCACCACTTAAGCCAGATGCGGCCCATGAAAAATACAGACTCGACTGGTCATTAACATCTTTGGTGAACTACTGGGAACAGAAAATAACTATGCATTCTACCAGATCAAAAGCACAAAGGAAGACTCTACCAGATTACCGGACCAAATGAAGAAACTCTAGGAATATTTAAGATTAGAAATAAGAATAAAACTCAACCCTATCAATATTTAAATTTAATCTAAATTGACAAGAAACTCAAAGTAAAAGACCAGAAACTATACCAGGGATAAGGTGCGTATCTTACACGCCATTGACTCTGGTTCAATCCCCAGCACCATATATGGTCCCTCAGGCTCTACCAGGAATGATCCCTGAGTTACGAGTAAGTCCTAAGCACTGCTAAGATTGACCTCAAAAACGATAGGTCAAGGTCATGGTCCTCCCATTGTTCATGGATCTGCTCGAGCGGCCCAGTAATGTCTCCATTGGAGACTTTGTTGTTACTGCGTCTGGCATATCGAATACGTCACGGGGAGCTTGCCAGGCTCTGCCGTGCGGGCGAGATACTCTCGGCAGCTTGCCGGGCTCTCTGAGAGGGGCGGAGGAATCGAACTCAGATTGGTCATGTTGGCTGCGTGCAAGGCAAACGCCCTACCGCTGTGCTATCGCTCCAGGAAAAAAAAATTAATAAATAATTTTAAAAGTTCAGCATTACAGGGACTGGAGTGACAGCACAACGGATAGGGCATTTGCCTTGCACTCGGAACTACTGGGTGTGACCCAAAAAGCCAAAAGCAAAAAAAAAAAAATCAGCATTACAACAACTTGCAATTTTTTATGGGGGAAAAAAAGTTTACAAATAGCATATATCAATGACAAAATGAAACAACTTTTTAACATTTTTTTTAAATGAAAATCAAAGTAAGCAATGATATCACTTTTCACTGTGGAAACAAAAACAACTGGCACCACTACAAGCAGGCAGCAGACAAGTGGATAAAACACTTTGAACTCTCATTTTTGAGGGAAGAGAATGTAAACTGTACAATCGCTTTGTAGAAACTTATGGCAGCTTCTTACCAACTAACGATCCCAGCCAACAGCTTCACTCTTAGGTAACTGACTCAAGATAAATCACGCACGATAAAAGCCCCCCCAAAAAACTTGAAGAACGTTATGTCAACTCTTTATATTAAAGCAGCTCTAGAAGCAAACAAAACATTCACTCTTACAAGAATGGATAAATTCTTTTTATGGTTATACACTGGAAGGGCTGGAGCGATAGCACAGCGGATAGGGCGTTTGCCTTGCACGCGGCCAACCCGGGTTCGATTCCCAGCCTCCCATATGGTCCCCTGAGCACCGCCAGGAGTAACTCCTGAGTGCAGAGCCAGGAGTAGCCCCTGTGCATTGCTGGGTGTGACCCAAAAAGCAAATAAATAAGTAAATAAATGATCATTGTGAAGAAGCAGGGATTTAAATTCCGTTCTGCCAAATCCAAAACTGAGACACTAAACAAAGAGAAAGTTACGGTCAATCTACTCCAGAAAGGAATTGCGCAATAAAACTTTCAGGATTCAGTGTCTTACTCTACTACAAACAGTAGTCACAAGGGAACAGCAGAAGAGTGCTAGACCAAAGCACCCCCCTACCGCAAGGAAAAAACAAACAAACAAACAAAATAAGCAGATTAAATGATCATTGTGGGGGCCGGAGTGATAGCACAGCGGGGAGGGCGTTTGCCTTGCACGTGGCCCACCAGGGTTCAATCCCCAGCATCCCATATGGTCCCCTGAGCACCGCCAGGAGTTAAGTCCTGAGCACAGAGCCAGGAGTAACCCCTGTGCATCACCAGGTGTGACCCCCAAAAGCAAAACACACACACAAAAAATGGAGAACACTTTCCCAAGAAGTTTCTAGCCGTGTTATCAGTCAACAGCTAAACAGCCTAACATTTGCAGACTTCTCTGGAACTGCAGCCAGGCATAAAGAGAATGAGCCACCCCGCCCACCCCCCAACCACACACACACACACAACCACACCCCCCCAACCACACACACACACACACAACCACACCCCCCAACCACACACACACACACCAACCACACACACACGGGAGAAACCTACAAACACACACACATACACACCAGGGAGAAACCTACAAACACACACACACACACACACCAACCACACACACACACACGGGAGAAGTCTACAAACACACACACACACACCAACCACACATCTGGGAGAAACCTACAAACACACACACCAATCACACAACTGGGAGAAACCTACAAACACACATACACCAATCACACACACACACCCCAGGAGAAACCTACAAACACAGGCACACACACCAACCACACACACACTCCCAGGAGAAGCCTACAAACACACACACACACACATACACACACACACACCAGGGAGAAACCTACAAACACACACACACACACACCAACCACACACCTGGGAGAAACCTACAAACACACACACACACACACCAACCACACACCTGGGAGAAACCTACAAACACACACACACACACCAGGGAGAAACCTACAAACACACACACACACCAGGGAGAAACCTACAAACACAAACACACCGACCACACACACACACCAACCACACACACACACACCAACCACACACACACACACGGGAGAAGTCTACAAACACACACACACCAACCACACATCTGGGAGAAACCTACAAACACACACACACCAATCACACACACCCTGGGAGAAACTACAAACACACGCACACACACCAACCACACACACCAATCACACACCCCCCCGGGAGAAACCTACAAACACACACACACACACACACACGGGAGGAGTCTACAGAGACACACACACACACACACACACACACACACACCAACCACACATCCGGGAGAAACCTACAAACACACACACACACACACCCCTGCGAACTCTGCCCAGGCCGCGCACGTGCCGCCGCCGCCCGCGCCACTCTCTGGCCTCGGTCCGGGGACCCCGACCCGACACGCCCCGACGGCCGCGACCACGCGGGCCGGGTCCGCCCGGCCCCGCTCACCCGACGGCCAGCAGCGCGCCCCGCCGCCCGCCCCGCAGCTCCAGCAGCAGCCGCGGCCCCGCGCCCGCCGCGCCCGCCGCGCCCATCGCCGCGCCGGGCCGCCGCCACCCCGCCGGCCGGACGCGAGCGCGCGCGGGACGCCGGACCCGCCGCCGCCCACAGCGCCGCCTGCCGGCCGGAGAGCGCCACGCCCCGCCGGGGGAGGCCGTCTCTTCCTTTTCCTGCTGGCTCGATGCTGGAAGGTGGGCGCACGTGGTCCACCCGGAGTCCAGGACCCCGCCGCGGAGGCCGGTGCGAGGGAGGCGGGACCCGTGGTGGCGGTGGTGGGAAGTGGCCCTGGTGGAGGGGCGGGGTTCGGTCACTGTACGGCTGAGACCCCAGCACAGAAGTTTGTGAGTCTACAACGGTGCCTCATGCTGTTTCACTAACAAAAATGAAAATAAAAAAGTGCCCTGGATGGGGCAGCCACCTACAGCCCCTCCCACACCTGATCTCTGCGACTGCTGGTCCAAGCTCAAGATCTAGTAGGGTTGGTTTTTCCTAGAGTACAAGGCAGCACATTCATTTTTTTTTAGATTTTTATTAGTGAAACACCATGAGGTACAGTTGTAGACTTACAAATTTTTGTGCTTGGGTTTCAGTTATACAATGATCAAGTACCCATCCCTCCACCAGCACCCATCCTCCACCACCACGGGTCCCAGTATCCCTCCCACCCCCCTACCCCCCCCATCCCACCCCGCCTCTGTGGCAGGGCATTCCCCTTTGTTCTCTCTCTCCTTTTGGGTGCTGTGGTTTGCAAAAGAGGCACCGAGTGGCAATCATGTTTGTTCTATATTCTACTTTCAGCATGCTTCTCCCATCCAGGACAAATCTTCCCAACACCCTTTACTTGGTGCTCCCTTCTCTATCTGAGCCATTCTTGAATTCTTGAATGACAAAAGCTCCAAAGGCCTTGACTTGTCCACGACATGCTCCAGGTGACTGGAGGCTGCTTGGGGAATATTCTCGACTTAACTCTGGGTTCACACGGTGGCTCGGGTCTTCCCCACCCCGCCACCCCACCCCACCCCACCCCACCAGGTTCTTCTCCTGATGGATTAGGGCACCAAAGAGGCTGCTGGAGAGCTCGAGAGGCCACCATTCATCCCCCCTGACGCTTTCCCATCTTCAGAACGAAGGAGACTTCTTTGCACAGAGCAAACGGTGCCAGAGCCCCTGGCACTCATAGATAGACCATGAAATCCGAGGGGTTTGCATTCCTAGGGAACAGAGAGGCTCAGGCTGGCTTTAGAAGAAGGGGCACCATGGGGCGAGTAGGCCTCAGCCTGACGGTGGCTACTTTGGACTTCTCCCCAGGAGGTCTGGGCATGCTCGGAGGAACATCTTGATCTGATGTACCAGCAAAGGGACAGGTTATTCTTGGCTTTTCTTTATGAACCAGGTTTGTCTGGTGTCCAGGTCACCTCCCAGGTAATAAATATCTGGGACTGACTTGGCATTATTTTTTAATCCAGGCTCATGACTCCAAGATAGAAATGATTGGTAAAAGGTAGGAAGTTGTTTTATTTTTTTTTTAAATTCAGGAAGAAGAAAGTGTGGTTAAGTCTGGTTTTACGAATCACGGAACATCAATCTCACAACCTTTGAGAAATTTCATGCATATATTTTTCCTCTATGTACTCTTGCAGAAAGAAAAATGGACACAGACATCAGAATTTATCACTACCAGGATAATGTAACTATAACAGAAAATGGAACTTTATAATGGAACTGTAACAAAAAATGTATAACTCTTAAACCTTGGTTGAACTGTAATAAAATCATTTTTAAAAACAGAAAGTTGATAGTTTTTTTAAAAAAAAACGAGAAACAATGCCTTTCATACAGAACATCATTTATTTCTTGACATTTATTGTTGCATAATAAATATGTAATCACCATTTTCAGCATTTTCCAAAACAAGTAAAAAGTTAAGCTCCCTAAAATCAGTAGAATCTTTAAGCGTTTTGTTCATTTTTGTTTTGTTGGGGCAGGATCCCACCTTGTTGGGCTTGCGGGGTGCTTCCAGATGCACCTGGGGGGAACCATGTGCTTTTGGGGCTCTGACAAAGGCCTCCTTCCTCCAGGCATGTGCTCCAGCCCTCGCAGCAGCCTCTAGTCCCAAGAGGGATTTCTAAGTTCACAGATAGCTTCAATCCAAAACCATGAGAGAGGCAAGAACTTGATTTAAAGGATCAAGCTTACTGCGATTTTAACTCAAATGACTTACAGCGCAGCGGGTAGGGCGTTTGCCTTGCACATGGCCTACCTGGCCGACCCAGGTTCTATTCCTCCGACCCTCTCGGAGAACCTGGCAAGCTACCGAGAGTATCTTGCCCTCAAGGCAAAGCCTGGCAAACTACCTGTGACGTATTCAATATGCCAAACACAGTAACAACAAGTCTCACAATGTAGATGTTACTGGACCCGCTCGAGCAAATCGATGAACAACGGGAGGTCAGTGACAGAGACAGATTTCAACCGGGGCCTGGAGTGATAGCACAGCGGGTAGGGCATTTGCCTTGCACGTGGCTAACCCGGGTTTGATTCCCAGCATCCCATATGGTCCCCCGAACACCAAGTGGAATAATTCCTGAAGGCAGAGCCAGGAGTAACCCCTGTGCATAGCCGGATGCGAGACACACACACACACACACACACACAAAGTGATTTCAACTGCTTTTACCTTCCAAAGGTCATCAAGTTTATCAATGGTGACATATTATATCTTGAGACATATATCAATACAGTCTGCTTGTCACAATTATTTGAATTTTTATTCGTTGGCTTTTGTTGGTTTGGGGGCTACACCTGGTTGGGGTCAGAACTTACTTCTAGCTCAGAGGTGACTCCTGGTGGTGCTGGGGATTGAAACAGGGTCAGTCTAGAATAAGACGAGTGCCTTACCTGCTGGACTCTCTCTCTCTCGCCCAATTATTTGAATTGTCAACAGTTCTTTTTTTTTTCATTTATATAGTGACACTCTCGTCAACATTTTGGAACCTGTACTTTTGACCCCAAGATCCAGCCAAAGTGGCACAATTCTACAATGCATTGTAGAAATTCAAAATAGTTCCAAATCTGTCAGCCACTCACTCTTTTCCTCCTTACTCTGTGTTCCCTGATCTCACAGAATCTCAGGTTCCTCGTATGAGCTCGTGAGGGCTACTACTGACACGAAGGCTAGAGAGAGAGCAAGGGGCTAAGGGGCTCGCTTTGCATGCAACACGGGCTTCCGTGCTATGCACGTAGGACCCCTGAGCACAGAGACAGGAATAAGCCCCCGAGCATCCCTGGCTGCGGCCCCAGACCGAGAAAGAAAGCAGCAACCAGGTGCTGAGATGACGTTTTCCAGCGTCTTTTCACAAGTTTCTAGCGGCCTTTCCAAGCCTCTCTCGGGAGGGCAGGGGCTGGCGGTGCTGCGTTTAGAAGAACTAGCGACCCATCGGGGAAGGGGCTCAGCGGGACCACGCACGCTGCCTTTGCCCGGGACCCCGCGCGCACCTGCTGCCCGAGAGCCCGGCACAAATCCAAACGCTCGGGAGCATCCTTCGAGTCGGCCTTGTCAGCACCCAGTGTGTCCGCTCGGGGGCGCTGTGGCGACGCCAGCCAGCCCGGCGGGCCGGGGGCTGGGGGCGGGGGCCAGGACCTGGGCGGGGGCGGGGGCCAGGCCTGGGGGCGCGGCAAGAGCCCGGGCTGAGGCCGGGACCTGGGCTGGGGGGCGGGGCCGGGGCTGAGGGCGGGGCCTGGACTGGGGCGGGGCTGGAGCCCGGGCTGGGGCCGGGACCTGGGCTGAGGGCGGGGCCGGGGCTGGGGCCGGGTCTGGGAGCGGGGCCGGGGCCGGGGCTGGGGCTGGGGCCGGGGCCGGATCCGGGGCTGAGGGCGGGTCGGGGCTGGGGACGGAGCCGGGGCCGGGTCTGGGGGCGGGGCCTGGACAGGAGGCGGGCTGGGGGCGGAGCCTGGACCCGGGCTGGGGGCGTGGCCCTGGGCTGGGGGCGGGGCTGGAGCCTGGGCTGGGGCCGGGCCGGGGCCAAGGCCGGGTCTGGGGGCGGGGCCGGGACCGGGGCTGAGGGCGGGTCGGGGCTGGGGACGGAGCCGGGGCCGGGTCTGGGGGCGGGGCCTGGACAGGGGGCGGAGCCTGGACCTGGGCTGGGGGCGTGGCCTGGGCTGGGGGCGGGGCTGGAGCCTGGGCTGGGGCCGGGCCGGGGCCAAGGCCGGGTCTGGGGGCGGGGCCGGGACCGGGGCTGAGGGCGGGTCGGGGCTGGGGACGGAGCCGGAGCCGGGCCTGGGGGCGGGGCCAGGACAGAGGGCGGGATGGGGGCGGGGCCTAGGGTGGGTCTGGGGGCGGTGCCTGGACCGGGGGCGGGGCCGGGGGCGGGGCCCGGGCTGGGGGCGGGGCCCGCGGGGCCGACGTCGACGCCGGCGTGGGCGCGGCGCGGTGCACGCCGGGAGCTGTCACTAGGCCCCTCGGGCTCGGAGTCCGTGTCGCTGCCGCGGTTGCCAGGACGAGCGAAGGCGGCGGCGGCGGCGGCGGGGAGCGGCCAGGCCCACCGCAGGTACCCGCGTCCCCGCCCGCTCGCCCCCCGGCCCGCCGCGCCCGGGATCGGCCCAGCGCCGCGGGGGGAGCCGGCCGGGCCCGGGGCGGGGGGCGCGGGAGGCCGGGCCGGGCCGGGGCGCTGGGGTGGGGGCCGGGCGCGGCGGCCCGCGAGGGTCCGGGGCGCGGAGGGCGAGGGTGGGTGGGGACCGAGGGCTCCGCGTGGTGGGCGGCGTCCAGACCCCCGGGCCGAGTCCCGGCTGCTGCGCTCGGCCCCCTCGGGCGCGCGGGCACTGCCAGGCCGGGGGCGGCTGGACGAGCAGGGAAGTTGCTCCGGGGAAGCCCGGTCGATCCCCGCTCGGGATCGATCCACCGATCGATCGGGGACAGTGCCCCCCCTGGGTCCCCGAGCGCTGCGAAGTCGCGGCCGGGCCGGGGGCCACTTGCGGGACGGGTCCTCTCGCCGGCCGGCCGCCCCCGCTGGGCGCAGGGGACCGCACGCAGCCCCCAAGCCCGGCGCCTCCGTCCAGC